CATGCTCATTTGTGGATTAAATAAAATCCCGGATGTTGCATAAGCGTACGAGGCGGGGGCAGCTTTCCCCCAAGAAAAATTCGGAAGTTGGGTTGAAAATTTTCCCCTCACCTCCATCGACAAGAGTTTTGGAAGAGATACAAATTTTGTAGCCCCTAGAGTAGGTAGTGAATTAAGAATACAATTTTCGCGTGTTTGCGTGTATCGCATGCAAATATACCTAAGAACAAACTGGTCGAAGAATTATAATTGTACACACAAGCCAGCAAATTCCTCGGAAAGCTTAGCCGGCCCACAGCCAAACTCATAAAGAAATTTGGATTTCCATAACGCGATTTGTTGAAAATCGCTTTAAAATTTAAAAAAATGGTTTAGGTAAAACTCTTTCGATCTCGGTAAACTGTGAACACAACTGATCAGACTGGATTTGAAGAGCATTTTGACAAGATCTGATGACAAGCAATGTTATTATCGACCCTCAGGCTGGAAAGGGAGGGAATGGAAAGCATGTTGAACTGATTAGCAGTTACTACGTCCTGTACTTTTTTCTTCAAGTGCGGATTTAACCGTCTGTACATGAGTATTTGCGACAACAGGTAATCAGGTATCAAGCAAGTAAACTACGTTAAAGTTGATCTCAAAACAGCAATCGTAATTTTGTAGTATTTCCATACCCCTATACAAATGTGGTGTCCAGTGCCTGCATAATGCATTTTATACTGACGAAAGCATGTCGGAAATAATTCCATTGGTAAAAAAGTGCTATAAATATGTTTTGATTTCGTCTTGCTGCAAGTACCATATAAATATTTGGCGTTGCAACAAAGATTATATATATGCCGCACTAGCTAAGCTTTTCAAAGACTTCAGTGCACTTTATTTAATTAAGTAGATCATATAATATGAGGTTTTGAAACTCCAGATATTGTAACATATTTAATGATTGGTAAACGCAGAGGTCAGTTAAATTATTAACTCTGTATGCATTAACATTAGCATGGCCGGCTGTATAAAACTCTTAATTAAACTACCTTTTAACCACTATTTTGCAGTTAAATATAGTCTAAAACACGTGATTAAATATTAGTTAACTTTCGTGCTAACTGTAGTTTTAACTTTACTGTATAGGTTTGATTCCAATTCAGTTAAACGCCCTTGTCATGCATGGCCTGTTTTAACGCCTATTGACAATAGTATTGTTACAAAGTCTAATACCTTCAGTATCAAGACGCTATATTGTGTCAGCTCCTGATAACTACTAAAGAGCAAATACCCCCCACCTTGATGAAAAACATGGCAGCTCTTTTGATTTTTTAAATTTTAAAATAACTGTGTAGACCCTTAAAACTCATGTATGCACTCGCAGAGATCTGCAAGGGGGTCGATCTTTCCGCAAACCGCCGTATTTTCTTTCCGTTATAACGTCCGGCAGTTTCTTCAAAAAACCGAAACCGTTAATATTTTTTTAGTAAAAACGTTATAGTCTGTTTTTCTATAACAGGTAAACAGCGTTTCTTTTTCGATTTTGTTTGCCGAAATTTATCAGTGAAGTCTGATACTGAAAGAAGCTCCCAAACATAAAGTTGTCCAAAATATGTTGTCATGACAGATTCTGGATTAAGTAGCCTGACTCGATGATAAATTTATCCTCCAGGGGAATGGCAGTAGGCCGAGCAATCGGCGGAATTCCGTTTCTCTGAAGTCTCTCGGAAGGCTGTTTTTAAAACTTTCATCCGCGTATGAAATGCATATACAACCGAAAACCGCAAACTAAGCCGCGTGTATAATTTGCCGTTACCGAGCGATAACCTCTTCACCATAAACTGCCATGAAAATGGAGATATGTCCCAAAACCGACCCGACCGCCAGACTATAATAGGACCCTCTCTAAGACTCTAAGGCAACGTTTACACTGTACCGTTTTCGTAGCGTTCTCGTATTGTTCGAGAGAACTAGACTATTAATACGAGAACGCTACGAAAACGGTACAGTGTAAACGCTGCCTCAGAGTAAGCGAACGATACGATAACACTTCTCAGATATAAAAATCCAATGTTGCCGGCATACATCCTGACGCTTTTTAACCAGTTTGTATAAATGAAAGATTAACGAAAGATTTTTTCAACATGGACAGGAAAACGATATAGATCGATGGGACAAAATCCTGACCATTTTAGGACTGATGTTCGCGAACTTTTGTACGCTAAAGTTTGACTTTGTCTTTAGTCTTAGAACATAACAAGAATGAACATAACAGACCGGACGCGTTTGGCAACGCGACGCGAATTTTCAGTTTTCAATGACATTTAACTTTAATATTTTTCAATGTTTTTCAAATATTCGGAACCACTTAAGCAATTTTAGCTATTTGGTGTGCATATCTTGTAAAATTTTTATCCGTTGACGGTTTTATTTGTTTTTGAAAACTGAAATTCGCGTCGCGTTGCCGAATCGCGTCCGGTCTGTGTGGGCCTTAAGGGTCAGGTATGTGGAATTACATGTATATATTTAGGAAATATTTATAATACAAAGCCAAAGCGTGATATATACTGCATGACATCATACAAAGTGACAAAAGATTGCTAACTTAAGTGTCTGAAAATGCCTGAAAAACTATTGGTTATATTTTTCTAGAACACCAGCTTTTCAGCAATTTAACCAACCGTTGTCTCATATTTGAGAAGGAACTGAGGGACTTAATAGCATTTCGGGGGTCAATTCATTATTATGTAATTTATGTCTGTGGCTATAGCTGATGTACAAAAGTGATTTTAATATTTTTAACTGCATGTTATTCTAATTGATGAATAATATCTTTTCTTCCATTGCCCATTGGGGAATCAAATTAAAATTGGAAGGACTCAGTCCTCTGCCTGCTATAGAGATACCTGCTGCGTGCATGAGCTGCCATGATTGACGTTAAGTTAACTAGTCTAGCAGAATTTTCTGTCTCAAAATTATAATTAATTGAAGTTAAAGTTCATGCATCTCTCTAAGTACAGAGAATGTCTCGACTTTAACTAAGTTGTGGGAAAGTAAGAACTCTCTCACGATATGAATGTAATTAATTCTATCAACAGCAAGAAACAATATTAACATTCTTATTATTCAACAAAATGTAATATTCTTTGAATATGCACTCAACTCAGGATTTTGCTCAGCAATTAACTATACTTTTTGGTGATGATAGAGATGAAAAATACGTTTGGATCTTGACCTTCACACATTAGCAAGCATTGTACTTTGGAGTCTGTCATTCCATTAGTCCGATATGTCATTAGTCAGTAGACCTCTGGTCATAGACATAGTGATACACTATTTAACTACTAGTCTACTGTCTAAATGAGTATATCAGACTGAGTGTACAATGTACTAAAAAGCATAACATGATAAAGCGGATCATACCGATACCTTTTTCTACCTTGCTAAGCCCCAGTTTTCAGTGTCGGTCTGTAGGGAGGTTATGACTGTTTCAGTATGAAGCCATTTTGCCATTTTTATGACGTTTATTGACGTCAGTGAGTCGTAGGCACTCTCTCTTGGCAGTTGGGAATGAGGTTGGTGAACGGTCCGATAATTATCACTTATTTACTGAACCCGAGGAAAACAGTGTGTTTTGTGCACCCGAGACCGCCGTTGTTGCCCGAGGCGAAGTCGAGGGCAACAACGGCGGTCGAAGGGCCAGAAAACCGTGTTTCCCGAGGTCTCAGTAAATACGTGTTTTGTTATATAGTATATAAGTGTCAAAGTATGAATAATTTACCGGTTATTGGAGCGAACATTCAAACGAAAACTTGATATAAAATGGAACGCCGTAAATGTTTAATAAAATGAACTTTGGAACTTCACGGTTGATACGCATGCGCACTGCACCCATTGGCTGACCGGTCAATAAATCTAGTGTTCTATTATGGACTGGTTGTCTAACTTGTCTCGTTGCCAGGGCAATGCAGTAAACACGACGTTTTGTGGACCGGCACGTGCTGGAAAACTATCAGATCGAGGACTTGCTGTATTGATCGAGCGATGTCAATACAAGGCAAGTTTTATATTTTCTCGTTCACCCCAAACGGTCGAGATTACTATAAGTATTATCATATTATGGCAGTGTACGTTTGTGAAAATGAAAACATGGACACGCGAGCAGTGTTTCCACAACCGCTTGTTCAAAAATCCTTTTACAATCTCCAAAATTCCTTTTTTCCCACAAAATTTCCTTGCTACCCAAAAGGTGGAAAAATCAAAAACATTCAGGCAAATTTGAGGCAAATGTATCATAGTCCCTACGAGAAATCGAGCATAATTACATTGCCTGAACATTTGAGCAGGCTTTCAAGAGTTCCCTCCATGAAAGTATCTGTTCCACATATATGGCTATGCTCATCCAAGGGCGTAAGGTGCTTGATAATGGTGGAGGGGTTCACAGTTATTTTAATACATGGTTTGGAGACTCGATGAAAGTACAATATAACTCATTAATTATGTTATTGTCCGGCTTTATGCAAGAATTTGGCCTATCTCGTCACGTGTGTATTATATTTTCGCTCAAATAACCAATAACAAGTTTGTGGTTGAGTTATCCATCCGTAACTTGAACAAATGCTCAATTTAAACATTGCTATTGGTTGTGCGGGAAAAAATACAATACACACGTGACGAGATAGGACCAAATTCTTGCATAAAACCGAAACCAACATAGTTAATGAGTTATATTGTACTTTCATCGAGTCTCCAAACCATGTATTCTATTAACTGTGAGGGGTTGTATGGCAGAAAGCGCTGAACGGCACATTTTGAAATTTATAGTCCCTAGAAGACTTGTAATTGGTATAAGTTACAGAAATCCTTGCAATTTCCTTTAATTTGTGTATTTTTCCTCGCCATTTCCTTGTAAATTGTATTTCCTTGTAAATTCCTTGCAAGGACCAATATTTCCTTGCTGCAAGGAAAAATCCTTGTAAGTGGAAACACTGCACGCGAGGGCAAAGTCAAAGTACAAAGTCCGGAACATTTGCAAAATTTCGATTGTCAACAACTGACCGAAAAGCAGGGCCTTTTTTAACATACAAGCTGGGGGGGGGGGCATTTGCCCCCCAGTCCCCCCTTGTGCCCCCCCCACGAAATCACATTTTGCCCCCCCCCCCCAGGAAAAGTCCCTTTTTCCTAAAATTATAGGCTACAAACAATCCAGCGAAGATTAACAAATAGATAAACGGAAAGTAAGTTTTAGGTTTTATCCTTTGTTCTTGTTTAACAAAATCGATTTAAATTGCGACTCAGTTTTACCACTAAGCCATGATAAATTATTGTTAATATTTTTTTTTATTTTTTGGATGCTCAGAATGCAGAAAATAGCATTTCACGGTTTCAAATTTCAAACATTTTCTTGGGATTATCCCTCTAATAAGTAATGATAAATTACAGTTAATATTCTTTTTTACTTTTTGTGCATTTTTCCATCTTTTATTTCAAATACAAGTATAGTTAGCATAAATTTTAGAGCAAATTTGGATGCTCAGAATGCAGGAAATGGCATTTCCGTGTTTCAAATTTCAAAAATTTTCTGGGGAGTACACCCCCACACACGTGACCATTGGGATCCTCCTCTAATAAGTAATGATAAATTATGGTTAATATTTTTTTTAACTTTTTGTGGGTTTTTTCCTTCTTTTATTTCAAATACAAGTATAGTTAGTATACATTGTGGAGCGCATTTGGATGCTCAGAATGCAGGAAATGGCATTTCTGTGCTTCAAATTTCAAAAATTTTCTGGGGGAGTACACCCCCCTCATTCATGCGTGCATGGTATGTTCAGCGCACACGTGGCCTTCAGCCATTGCTGTCTCCCTGTAATATATTATCTCACAGAAAGGTCCCTTTTCAAAAAATGCCCCCCCCCCCCACGGGAAAATCCTTAAAAAAGGCCCTGCCGAAAAGTATGTTTTAACAAGGCAGAAGTTTTCGAAAGACATATTCATGTTTTTTTTAATTAACAAAAACAAAAATTTTCGAAAGAAATCTATAAAACTGTGCCTGTGGCTGCCTTTCATTGTATTTTTGCCTCAGATGGTGTCTAATTCCTCCTGCCGTCCTGGCCATCTCAAAAATAAAATTTACAGCTCTTCGCACATCAGTACAGTCACAGATTTATAGATTCCGTTTTTTCGAATATTTCTGTTTTTGTTAAAGACAAGAATATAATTAATGAACATACTTGTCGAACGTCCGTGCTGTTTAATTATTTGTATATTTTGATTTCATATTTGTTGTCTTTGACTTTGATCAAATACTTCGTCATAAAATACTACCCAAACCTATGTCAATATTCTATAAAAGGCCGGTGTAGTTTCACTAACCATGCAAGGGCCAAGGTATATATTACAATTTCAATTTTGCAAATGTTTCGGACTTTGTACTTTGCCCTCGCGTGACCATGTTTTTAATTTTTTACAAGAGGGGTGTGAAGGGGGGGGGGGTCAAATCCCAGTTTCCATGAGCCTAATTTCTGTCCAAAGTCCAAAGAGTGCTTTTAAGCCATCTAAGTGACTGAAACAATAATGTAGAATTTGACCAGAAAACCTTGATCACACAATTTCATATTTTCACATATTGGTTGTTTTACTTGATGTGTTAGACTGATGAGCATGACGTCATATTTGATGACAAATTAAACTGAATGGTGCCTGGAACACTGTCAGGTTCATATCTTTCAGGATCATATTTAGTTTGTGAACGATACCTAAAAAGAAGGAAGATATTTGTTATTAAAAAGGCTTGAACGCATTTTGAGTTTGTGTGTTTCTTTTGTACGAAACTCTTCCAAGGTCTTCCCGACAGCTTGTTCATAAACATGAGGATATTTTCCCAGAAATCGTATTTTCTAAGGACTAAGCTTTTGAAATAAATCTATGCGGCATTAGCGCTAACCAGTTTTGAAAAACCGGTCTCAGAAACTTATTTTATTCCGGATACGTTCAAGACTAAAGAAAAGCTGTATTAATAATTCGTAAGTCTTCTCATGGGGGATCTCGGGGGCCCGTCTTTACTCAGTGGCGTAGTCAGTGGCGTAGCCAGCCCGACGATTTAGTCCCGCTATTCACTGACTTTCGTGTTCATTGACATTGACTGTGAAAACAATCAATTTCTAAAGAAATGAATAATGATAATAATTTTGAATTTGCATAGCGCCGCACTGAATTGTCGAGCTGGCTAGTACCGCTACGCCACTGCCTATAGTAAAACTGTTGCGAAAAACGTTAGAAAATAAAATGTTTATTCATCCAGATTAACAGATTAACTGCACTACTGACGTAGTGAATACCCTGCAAGTTTTCTAACAGCTCAGTTATAGTAGCCAATTATATGGTCACATCAACCGCAGGGTAAATAAATGTGCTTCCAAAAACAAGAGAGATCTCTTGTTTTTTCGGCCCCCTTCGAGTGGAAAACCTGGCTACGCCACAGGATATGTTTGGTACGGAGTTTAGAATAATCAGACTATGAAATACAGATGAAATAAGCCGCGATTAAAAATTGTCAGGAATGTTTACATCTGGAACTCAGAAATCGTAAGTTGCAGAAATGACACGCTTGATATTAGCCAGTACAACGCGACGGGAAAGAAGGAGGAATGAAGATATAAGAAAAGAAGTGAAAGCGACTGGAAGAGTGAAAATCGAGGAAGCAAGATTGCCGGGGACGATTTGGACATGTTCGAAAACGAGAACACATCATATCACTCGATGAGCAATGGAAAGAACGGAAGACGGAAAGCGACCATGCGGTAGACCGCGGAAACGATGACTATATGTGTAAAAGAGGATTTGAACAGAAATAACATTGGAACGAAGACAATGGAATGCTGCGACAAGGAGACATGACCTCCCTTGAGGATCAGAATAATAATAAATGAATGAATCTATATAGAACTCGATCGTTACATATACTGTTATTTATTTTACATGCTATATGTAATGCATTAATTTCTTATTCAGGCAAAAGCTCAAGATTGAGGTCCGGTGTTATACAACTTTATAATCATAACAGAACGCAGTGCCGGATTAACCATATGGCAGAAGCGGCATATGCCACGGCCACCGCGCTTTTGGGGGCCCCGCGCTTCTCTCTTCTATTTTTTTCTGAATTTTTTGTTTTCTGTTTTAGCGCGGGGCCCAAACAGTGCGCCAGAGCGGGGCCCCAAAGAGTCTATAAGTCCCCCAGAAAACTCGAGGCCCCAAAAAATCGACCCCAAACGTGTTCTTTTTGTTCCCTGTTTTAGTGTTTCAGCGCGGTGCCTAAAGAGCGCAAGGTCCCCAGAAAACGTTATAGGCCCCCAAAATTTAAAAATGGAGGCCCCAAACGATTTTTTGTTCCCTGTTTAAGCGCGGGATCCAAACAGCGCGGGGCCCTAAAGAGTCCAAGGCCCCCAAAAGCGAAACCCCAAACTAAAAACACCGCGAGGCCCCAAGGTTTAAAAAGGCCCCAACTGTTGACTAATTTCAGTTCGATCAAGTATTGATGGATAATTCTTTCTTTTTTTGTAAATACACAGGAATCTTTTCAACGCATGAAATACAAAAGGATGTTTTTAAATCTTACTGAATTCAGGGTCCAAAATGTCGTTGGGCGGTTGGGGTCAAGGCAAGGGGCCCCGCTCCAATAATATGCCTGCACGGATCTCGCGGAACGTTAATCCGGCCCTGAGTCAGAACGTATACTAAAAATGTCGAGATCCGACAATTTAATATGCCTTTAAATGAATATCGTTTGTGTCGATCTTTTCTCTTTCTTTTCCAGCGACTTTAATGTCAAAACGTTGGATTTTGAGGCATGAATCTCTCACTACCAGTTATGACATCAACTAAATTCACATTTATGACATCAACTATAAAATCACCAGCAAAAAAAACCCAGTTTATTCATCATATAATAATAAATGTCTGTATAACGTCGATAGCCACGAAAGTATGTTTTAAAATACGTTGTCAGGTTATGTAACCTGCAGATTTGGTAGTGCACGTCAGCACGTGCATATATCACGTTGTTTGGTTATATAACCTGGAATGTTTTTAAGAAGATCAGCTGACACCTAGGAATTATAGTCAGTTTTACATCGCAATGGCAATGCACGCGATTGAACATATATCTCCGGAAAGCGATCAACGCAGCAGTTGCACTCGTCACTTTTCTCTAAATGCTAATTAGAGGCTCCGTGTCTGACTCGTCCCCAGTCGTCTCTGTGAGGACGCGCGAAACGGGCACGCTCCGTGTGGTGAGCTGCAAATACTGACATGTCGGACGAAAAGGTATTGTCAGGGACCGTGGAGCGATTTTATGATTGGGGGACTGGTGTTGGGATGACGTAATTAGTTGCCTTAGCCAAGGTAGTAGGGTAGTTCTAGTGTTGAAATTGAAGTTTGCCCTCTTTGGGACAAAATATACAATGTTGCAACTTTGCCACTGCATATGATAATGTTTTGTAGGATACTAGGATACTGTATAGTTTATGGCATGATGAGGTTTTAAGGGGTTGGGAAATTCAGCCTGGAAATTTAGGAGTATTGAGAATATCCTGGAAGAGGACAGTATGCTTGAGTCTCGCACATCTTTTAAATGAGTGAGCTTTGAAGAGGGTTATAATGGTGTTTATTGTTGGGTTGTTCAGTCCTCTTTCCCAGAGTGTTTAGGTTTAAAGGAGCTGAAATCTTATTGTTTATTTTAGAGGAAACCTTATTTTAGTGTTAAGCTGCCAAATTACAGATGTTTTCAATTTTCGAATTAAACACGGTCTGTTAATTAATTAATTTATAGTATTATATAATTGAAACAACCACTTTAAAACCCTCCGTGTATGTTGTCGCCTGCCAAAATTAGTCTAGTATGCATATACCATTGCCGCTACAGTGAGACAAACGACACACAATGCAATGAAGGTTTTCACACCAGTGAAAAATCAAAACTGGATAATTAATGCCTCTGTGATGCATAAACAAAGCCAATAATCACTAATCAATATGATTGTTTGGCCGTTGTTGCGAACGTGGCAGACGAGATTCTTACAATTTCTGGTTCAGTATTGATGGGACAGAGTAAACTTTATCATCAGTGGCCTCTCGTGGACACTCGAGGTCACACCGGTAGGACCACCTGAAGTTTCGTTATCTAGTGTTTTATGAAACTTTCTCAAAAACATATCAGAAGAGACATGGGAAGATATACTGGCTAGTCAACTTTTACATATCTGGAAAATATATTTGCTTATAATCCAGCGATTCGATTTACAGATATTTTGACAGATTTAAAAATATCATCCCATTAAAAATATTCTTGCTTCAAATTTGACTCATTCAATTGAAAAGGATGTTCTAGACTATATACGTTTGCTGCAATTTGTCATCCCAATTTGCATAAGCGCACCAAATTCAAATGCTTGTCCTGCGTTATTATTCCCGTGTTGTTAGTAAACGAATGGTCTACGTAATTCGTTTTCTGTTGCCCTTGTTTGAAGTACGTTCAAATAAAATATAATCAGGAACTTCCCGCATCGGGTATTCCTTACATCCGATGATAGCGCAGGATTAATCGTTGTGGTATCAGTTCTTGGCACTTCTTGCCTTTGATCAGTTCAAGGTCTCGTTCAATGTAATGTATACGTCGTTTTCGTAGCAATATTTTCTTTATACATACTGTGATTATTACAATATGACGGCCCTCGCTCTCTAAAATGATGATCCAATGACAAAACGAAACATTTTAGTTTTTCTTCTATAGCTACTCTAAAAGTTTTATCTCATGTCATGGACATGTTCAGTTTATGATTCTAAACATGTGGGATGTCATGTCGTTGTCAAGCCAAATTAAGTTGGTAGGCTGAGAATTTCAGTTGGTCTCTTATTAAAATACCAACGGCAATTCTCAGCGCTGACACAGAATTAGACGTTGGTATATGTAACTTCTCAGTTTAGACTT